CCCCTGGTGGACACTAGAGAGAATGCAGGTTTTAAGAGACTTCTGCATCGGCTTCACTCTGCAGAACCGGAGGTTGCCGTCTGTCCAAAACTCCACTAACCTGCTCCATCAGCACTGTGTGGGTGTGGGTGTGGTTGATCAGGTTTGATTGACAGCAGTCTAACCCAGTTAATGTTTGACAGCGTAACTCTAGAAGGCTGAAGGCTTCGGTTCCACTCACTTGTTCTGAGGGGAGAACATGTAGACGGACCACTGCTCTCTGGTTTCACACCAGTCCGGCTTGTACACCTCCATCATCTTCTGGACGCGGAAGCACAGACTCTGGAGGAGAGAGGAACCGAGATGAGAAGATGATCTAAAGGCGATTCAATTATTGAATTTGTTTCAGGCAAGCTTGGGAATCTCATAAAGTGACTGCGAAGAGGTTAGGTAAACCAATACTGCTGCCTCGTCTGTACCCCAACTGCCACAATGATGAGGATTTATGTTTCATTTTGTTTTTCAATATCATCTCGTCAATCCGAGAAGCTATAAAGAATAAAATATACAGCAATAACACACTACGATGGCACCGTATCATCTCAGGAGGTGATGATCATTCATGTGTCCGTGCCACTCACATAATCCGTCTCTTCGTCGAGGTCTGCTCTGTCCTTGCGTGCGTTGACTTGAGGGAAAACCTCCGCCATCAGCTGAGTGTGGGGACCCGGCGTCTTGCCGTTACAATCCCGGTGGTCTGCTCCTAAACCCGACCCCCCGGTGATGGATCCCCCTGCCCCGGACCCACTCCTCCTCCCTGGGTCTGGTTGGACTGGGGGTGGGCCCGGCGGCTGCCCGCCCGACGCCCGAAGCAGCTCCGGGTGCTCCAGGGAAAGAGCCCGTCGATCCCTCCTGGCAGCGAAGTGTCTGGAGAGGAGCAGCGGGGGCGGAGGCGGGTGATGAGGATGATGGGAGTGGGGCGGGTGGGACAAAAGGGACTCCTGCTCGGCAGCGTAGGTGCAGGAGTAGGGGGAGCGGGTGCCGTGCACACGCAGGCTGCCTCCCACCAGAGGAGCTCCACCAAACCCGTAGCTCCTCCGGCCCAGACTGTTGGAGCTAGACCTGCACGACATGTTTAACATTCATGAACAAGTATCCATGAGAAGGTACTCAATACTTCCTGCATACTACGAGTTTAGTCATGAAGCTAATAAAAGCAGAACACAAAGGTTTGATGTTTCCATACCGGGGATTAAGGCTTGATGGCGGTAATAAGAATCAAATCATTGCTGGAAGTAAATCTAATCGTGTACCTGCGGCTCCATGTGGACTGTGGGAGGAAAGGGCGCCCCCAGTTGTGGTAGTTGGGACTGCGGGCATGACGCTAGAATAAACACACAGCAGTTTAGGGTTTAACATCAGTTTGCATCCAGTAAAAAAAAAATTTGTAAAGTTACTCCACATTTTGTGTGTTTTCTTACGAAAACCAAACAAATGACAAAAACTGGGCCTTTCAAAGCAGATTGCAGTGCACTCAGGCGGCTGTCCCCTGACTGCCGGTTCCACTTTGAGGAACGTAACCGGTTCTGTTTGTGTTCCGCATGTCTAACCCTCTCCACATGACGGATCCTAATTATGGGTTTTACCCTTGGAAGCCTTACGTGTCAAAAGCTGGAGTTTGATGCCGTTTTCCAGACGCATCGGTCTCTATAGAAACTGCAGTGAAGCGTGCACGCTAGCTGTTAAGCAACACCTCTGTCCATACAGGACATCACTCAAGAGGGCGGCTGTGTAGATTACTGTCAAGACAATTTGTTCCGCACTCTATAAGACACACCAGAGACGAGTCTTGGTAGTGATGTACTGTACATTCTGTAGTCGGGCTCTTTCTTCGCTTACAAACGTTCTGTAAATGAAACTTCTTCTGACAGGAAATGCAACTGTTTAATGCAATGATACTTTGATTCATTGACATTCAGTTGATCTCCAGATGTAGAGTACACATCTGTTACTGAACAAATAGCTATTTTCTTTCCAGTCGGTGAATCTTGCTCATTGTGTTACACATTTTATTGATTTCTGTCTCGCTACACTTTTGCCGCCGCTGAAGTCGAGCTGAAAAGAAATGATTGGTTACGTGATCAATAAAGTGAAGTGCAGTGAAGGGAACATTGTGCAACCCTTACCCAATTTCTCTATTTTCTAATAATATGTCTAATCCATATTAGGTCACACAACAGTCTCTATATCTAAGCAAATGCATCAGCTTTAAGTTTCCAATTCTTCAAGCATCGTTATCTACATTTCATCAGACGTGTGGACGAGTAACCCGGACAAAGCAGCACACCCGTTACGCTGATGCAATTTTGATTGTGCCGCAACACAACGGAGCAATTTATCCCTCGCCCCGAGTTCCATCTGAGTCCAATCAACAGTGGCTGAATAAAAACAAACAAACCAGCCGACAGACAGATGCAGCTGATTCATAACTGAAACATTGTGATTTTCATCAAAGAGGACCAAAACGCTCATCAGAGCTTCACATAAAACTGAACTTTCTCCTCGACTCGGTTATTATCTCAGTACGTTCTCTCCGAGTGATGTAACCGGTGCCTTCCGATGTAAATGAACTGCGAGGGAAGAGGAGGAGGCTTCACGGTGGAGTGGACGCTCCACACCCACAGTGTTTAACATCATAACCTCTGGTTTGTCACTCCCCTCCGTCGTCCAATCGCGGCTCTCATCGCCAGCCCCTCTCTTCTGTCTTTCCCTCCTCTCTACTTCTCTCACTTTCTCTGCCGTTGAACAGAAGAGCGGGAACAGTCAATTAATACCAGCTGCCATGGCAACTGGATGCTGAGCCCAAAACCTCGAAGACAGGTTTGTGTTTCGGGTCAGTGGGCTCGACACCGGGGCATTCCCACTGAGTGTGTGTGTGTTCTTACAACCCGCTTCATACGCACATGTATGCTACTGAATGTGTTTGTGTTGTTGATGACGTGGTGCAGCGATTAGCACCAGGCTGGCTGTACGGCAGCTGCAGTGTGTAGCTAACGTAGCTAAATACGGCCCGGAGCGGATAACATGAGCTAATTCATCCAGACTATAGGGCTGATCTGGCTGACAAATTGACTAGTTTTCTGTTTGCAAATTACTTTCTCAGCTAACGTTTCGTTAACAACCAACACCGGATCCATGCAACGTCGCTAAGTTACAGCTAGCTGGCTCGCTAACAATATCTCGAGCAAAATACTATGACAGCCACCCGGGTGACCCATGATACTAGCTAGTGTGTTATATCCTATGCCAGTTTAGTCTGGATCTGCATGTCCGTGGATGCGAGTATGGCTGAGTACCAGAGAGAGGGAGCGTCTCTCCAGGCTGCCCTTGCCCAGGCTCATCACGCTGCTCTTCCTGGACTCTATGGTGAAGCTCCGCCTCTCTGAGGAGTAGGAACTCCTGGGCCCCGAAAGGGCCCCCAGCTCCAGGTGGCCGTTGGGCGTCAGCGTGCAGATCCGTGGGTCTGGAGGTAGATGAACAAAAAAAGAGCAGGTAAAATACTGCTTTTGTTGTTTTTGTGTGCCATCCATCCAAAGCATGTTGCCAACTACCCAACGACCCATAATGCAGCTCAACCACTTTCTATCAAGCTTTGATTTCCTACAATTTCCAGAATGACATTTTACAACTGGAGGACTAATGTCAAGCTTTGGAAGAACTTCTACATTTGGTTCCCTGTGTTGCATAATGACGATAAATGATCCTTGAATCCTTGAAATAAATGTGTAAATCACAAACTCCAGAGCGCTTCAGAGAGCTGTCAGACTGGAGTCAGTTTTAAAACAATGCTTTGCATTCTGCTCCTTTGAGGCTCCCGTCAGAGTGTTCCTTGAAATGGTCGGGATGATGATGCCACGATCCGCCTCATAGCTGAAGTTACACGGAGAGAAAGTGGAATATTAACCTCGGCTCACTTCTTAAGCCTCTTAAGATAAAAAAGGGATGAAAATATATTTCAAAAATGTAGAGCGAAGGAGAGAATTGAACTCGCTGTGTAAAGAGGGCATACATTAAAACACCTAGTTGTATTCACATCCATATGTGGACCGACTGCAGAGTTTCATCCCTGGCTTCCTGACTGCACCGCAGACATCTCACCTCCTCTGCAGCAGCAGCACACTCTACAGTGTACAGACTCCCCCGGCCTCTGAGCCTCTGTGCTGTTTAATCCTCTCTGAAGTGCTGTGAACGGGTTCATCGTGAGCTCTGTGTAGAGATACAGCTCATTCATACTTTTTGGTATTTTGGGGGTTGAGCTCATGAATAAGCCCTCAGTGGAAAACAAAAGACTACCGGCTTAAATGTGAGACGCAGGCAGATTGTTGGGCGTGTTGTTCAGTTTTGACATGAATGAGAAAGTCTGTGATTTTAACTGTGGCATTAGTGGTGGATCAAAGTTCCAGAATCCATGGATCTGGTTTTAAAAATATTCAAACCACCAATTTAGACTAATCGCCCTAAAACAAATTTAACTTTTGCAAAATGTGCTTTTAATTGTTGGATGAAGTGGAAGCTGCTTGACTTGTTTACATTCCATGTATGATTTAGTCTCTCTTGAGATGTAGTTTTTAGTTAGATTTTTATGGTTCTGACATATCATATTTATGTTTCATTTTTGTGAAAGAACTCTTTGTCGTGTATTAGCGTGGCGAATATAATTATGATTTTAAAATCACGATGGATTTATTATGTCACACGCTAGTTATCTTTCACTGATGGCTAAAGCAAGAAAAAATAAATACTGTAATTATAGTGTGAGGAGAAAAATGTTTTTATCGAATTTTGCTTTTTAGAAATACATTTGAAATATCAAGAATTAAGTTGAACTCTCGACTTTATTCTAAAAATGCAAAATGCAGAATAAATTCCTCCCCTGAATCTGTTTTTCATGTCTGAACCTAATGAAAGATATACGATGCTCCTCCCCCCCGCTAACATGCCACCAGCTCACCAGACAACTTTATGGAGTCGTGTTTCTCGCTCTCGTCAAAGTTGGATTCGTCATCCGAATAAGTGCGATTGGCATCACCCTGGAGACAAAGGGGGGGTGGTGGGGAGGGGGGGGGGTGATGGGGGAGAGAAAGATAAGAAAGGAAACAGGGAACTACAGCGGGCTCCTGCTCCCGGGACTCTAAAGAGCACGGTAGCAGATTTCACAGATCTGATCTGAATCTGGACCTCCGGCTCACTCTCACCGACGTATTTGAGGTTTGTCAGGTTGTGAAAACCCTCAAACTATAAACGCACTACTCCAACAGCCCCACAGGGTTGGTTATGTCCTGTTGGGATTTCCTTTATGATCTTCACAATGGGGAAATGTGGAGTAAACTGGCTCAGTGCTCCCTCGAGATCAGCTAGCAGACACAGTGTGGATGAGCAGAAGACCTGCAGAGAGGATGGAAGGCAGACGGACTGACGGCTGTATTTAGATCAATCAAAAGCCTGGTGATTTGTGTCGGTGTTCCCCCTCCAACTCACACCAGCCATGAATATGGTAACGCTGCGATGCGTGTGTGAAAGAAAGAATCAGATGAGTAACTCAGCCGCAGCGTCATTTCTCCAATAACACATCTGTGAGTTTGACAGTTGACGGCAGATTGACAGCGTCGTCTTCCAGAGTGTTCCAGAGTGATGGACGGCTGCAGACATTACCCCGTGTGTGTGTTGGAAACACCATTGTCATGTTATGCCTCAGATAAACATCATAATTGTAACAAATACTGTAATTATCATTTTCTACAGAATTAAATAGATTTTATACTCTGTAAAATCTGTCTTTGCTCATTTTCCCCTGTATACAGAATTACAGGAATATAATGAATACATGTCTTAACCTGCTCTGCTCTGGATATATATATATATATATATATATATATATATATATATATATACATACATACATACATACATACATACACACATATATATGGTCATATACGTTAGGCTAGGCTAGTGATCTCAAACTATTTATTGAAAACAAATGATTCTACATGAGTATAGAATGATTTGTTGTAACTATATGCATGTCAAAACCAGGCATAAGTGAGAAGAAATGAGGACGACTTTCTATTTTATGTGCATTTTGAGAATAAAGTCTAAATGTCAAAAATAAAGAAGAAATATATATTGGTACTAATATGGACGTTCAACATCCTTATCGACATGTTTACTTCATTCTTGACATTTATTTTTTCCCAAAAATGCAAGAATAAACACCTTCCTCCTCTCATTCTTCAGTAACTAAGACTGAAGTCAGTCTGCTCAGCTCTGCGATTACGGTTGAGAGCAAGAGGCCGGGCTCATGTCAGCTGTGAAGGTCACTGCTGAAGGTCTGGTCTTTGAGAAACGCAGACAGACGGACGGACGCCAGCTGTCCACAGAGGACTTCATGCAGCGGGTGCTTTGAGAAGAGCTAAACATAGAAGAGCTGTCAGAGTTTGAACAGTTCTGTAAAGCAATGTGCAGGCCATTTCTGGAATAGCAGAAACTTGCCACTTGTTTGGAGTGATGGTGAAGTAAGAGCTTGTTGATTTCCTGCCGTTCCGCGGTTGCTGTTAGAGGGCAAAACATGCCGGAGATAATTTGAAATATGTCACCTCTCCTGATGCGGGTTGAACCAAAATAGCATTTTCAAAAGGTTAGTAATGAATACGATTAACCGACCTGGCCGGGGCACCTCAAGCACCGACACCTACGTTCAAATGTGGACGTCACTTTTATTATGAGAACAAGCTTTCGTACGACAGCTTGAAGCCACCAGAGGCGCTCTTACCTCTGCCTGAAAGCCTTCAACCAAGATGGCAACCAGCAGGTTGAAGAGGACGTAGTTTCCAAAGGTCATGAGGGCCACGAAGTACAGAGCAGCTAGTGGGGAGGTGGCTGCCATTCCATTGTACAAAACCGTGTTCCAGTCCTCCTGGGTCAGAATCTGAGAAACATAAACAGAGAAACATATACATAGTACACAAGTACCACTTCAACACTTTCACTCAATATTAATACAGATGCAACATATTGACGTTTAAAGAAGGAGTTCCGTATAATCGTAGTTTTCTTCATATATTGTTTTGTGCATAGATTATTACAGGTTGGTGTAAAGGCGTTCAAATATGTCTGAAGATGAGAATAACAGGGGACTAAATAAATTGGATTCACAACCAATATGCAAAAGTTTACATCATTAAAGTTTCAGTTGGTCTTCAGGTTAAAGGGTGTAAAAACATTTCTGCAAAGAAGAATCCAATTTTAAAGCGACAACAAGGAACTTTGAACTGAATGTAATACTGGCGCCACTATATGACCTACATAAGAAAACAAGACCATCAGCATTGAAGAGTGGTTATCTCTACATCGTCATGCCGGATATTCTTCATGCTTGTCATTAAATCGTATTCCCTGCGGCACCAGAAACCACTTCGGATCAGACTCCAGCAGCGGTTCGTCTGCGGCTGCAGGACCCGAAGATCACCGCTTGCTTCCTGGTGACCAACACCGACACCACAGTGCTGGAGGCCCAGGCCGTGTTGCTAGGCCTGCTGGTGGGAAGGGAGGCACGGGAGAACCAGAACCAGGACTAAGCGGGGCAGACTGTCAGACCCTCGTTCTCTAAAGGGAGACTGGCACGAAGCAGTGGCGCTCATGTAAACACTAATGCTTTTATCCACAGGGGGCGCCAGAATCAACACAAAAATAAAGTTCCTTGAAGTGACTTTAAGAAATATGTGCAAGTCATCTGCATATATAGAGATACGGTCATACGGTGGAGCAGATATGCAGAGATGTGTGCAGTGTGTTTGTGTGCATTCTCATGCAAACAGTCATGTGTCCATTACCTGGAAAACAGTGACAATGGCCCAGAGCAGCGAGTCAAAGTTCTTCCTGTCTGGCACCGTGTCGCCGGTCTCCGTCTTGAGGCTGAACTTACAGCCAAAGATATGCATCCCCAAGATACTGCAACACAACAGCAGAGCCGCTGGCGATGTTAACATAGTGTATGCGCTGACAATGTATCATGTGCTGCACCCAACCGATAATGAAATGGTTTAGCGTGAAAACCATTTTATAGAACTATCCATGGAGAGGCTTCGGATGGTGGAGGGTTTTCTTTCGCTCAGCTGGTTCATATTTTATAAATGCTGCATTGTATACGCAGCTCTGTGGCTGTTTCTGCAAATGGGTTACAACAGAATTTCGTTGTGCATCCCTGTGTTGCGTAAAGACAATAAATTATCCTTGATCCCCACCTGGGATGTGACATTTTATTTTCTCGTATTTACAAAAAACACCTTAAAAGTGACACCAACACACAGAACACAATCCCTAACTGTTCCTTCGTATATGAGTAAATCACAATACGTGTTTGTTTGTGCAACTGGACCATGCTGTATGTATGTGTATGTGTTCATCTGAACCGACTCAAGAGGAAAACAAAGCTGAAAAGGAGGGAAACAAAGACAGAGAGGACTGCAGTCATTCATCCTCCACTGAAAGAACCTTTTCGTCCCTCAGAGTGCTGTTGCGTCAGTGCTGCTGTGCCAGTGCTTGAGCATTTAGACATGTCCGCTTGTTATGTTACTGCAGCTCTTCAAGTGTCTGCATGTTAAATTCCAACCAGCTCTTCGAGTGTCTGCTCGTTATGTTTTGCCCAGGGTTAATAGCTGCTGTGGAACACTGCGACCTTCTGCTCTTCAATGGCAGCTTGTTGAGCAAGTGAGCAAAAAAAAAAAGAAGACAGGAGCCAGCACATGAAAAACACACATGAAGAGGATGAAACAATTAACCATCTCCCTGAACAAAAACCTCCAAAAGCCGGGCCCCTGGGCACTGACATGCAAAACGCGATGGCACATCTCCTACATGGGAGCAGAACACAGCGTCTCTTTGCAGCTGATTTGCATTTATTTGCAGTTGTCTTGATCTCTTTCTAGTCGTTTATGTTCCTTTGTGGTTATTTTTCTTTCCTGGTCGGTTCATGTCTCTGCTCGTGACATTTTGCAGGTGTAGGCCAGGGGGCCCCTTAGACTTTGGGTCCTTGGACCTGTGCCCGGTAGTAATCCCTCCATGATGATCGGCATCAGAAGGAGACAGAAAGATCTGCATAACGTGTATCAGCTTACCTGAAGATGAAGATGAAGAGCATGAGGAGCATGCAGAAAGTGGCCACATTGTCCATGGTCTTCATGAGGACCACCAGCTGTCTCCTCAGAGCTGGCATGAACCTAACCAGCTTCAGCACCCTCAGCAGCCTGAAGGTCCTCAGGACAGACAAACCGCCGTCGGACTGGCCGACGATCTCGCACACGCTGAGAAGAGAAACATGGGACACATAGACAACCAAGCAACGTAAGAGAGATGAATCAAAAAGCAAAGAGCTACATGCCCATCCAGCATTCCGACATCCTCACAATCCGCCTTGATTCTTATAATACTCAGTGCTTCATGCCCTGGATGTAAAGTGTGGATTCTGAGGTGTGGATTCCTCCAATATGAATTCCTAATTCCACCAGAAGGGATCAGACTTTCATTGTTTGTTTAATTAACATTAATTAGTTTTCAAACTTCAGAAAGAATGAGTGGGTTTCTCTCAGCTGGAGAACAAGTACCTCCAACACACAGAAAATATTAAAACTTCTCTGACCTCGTAATAAACTTTAAGAAAGACAAACTCAAGCATCAGATAATCCAGTGAAAGAGAAGCTTCAGTCGTGCTCATAATCACGCTGCTGGAAACAATATGAAGGTAGGATTCCTGGTTCAGCAATTAAGCCCCAATTAATACAGACGGGGCTGTCATCAAACTCTCAACTTTGAATGAAAAGTGCTGATTTCATTTTGATTTTGAGTTTATTGTTCGCAGTACAATAGCTGCTTATTATAAACGGTCATATAGATATCGTAAAGTCATTGGAGTAGATGTTAATCATGAGGCTCTTTAAGCTCCTGATGTAAAAAGGAATCATCATTACTGAATTCATTCTCAGGAAACATGAGGACTAATTGGTTTATAATTGGTTTATCAGGTCCTGTAAGTGATTAATGTGTCTACTTAAGAGTTTACTTAAGTATTGGACACAATAAATCATGTGGCTGCCCATTGAAGCCGGCCGTGCCTACATATACCAGGATGCATTTGGTGCGAGCTGTCTGCCATTGCCTCCGTGCTCCCCTCCACACGGACACTTCTGTTGGTCTTGACGGGCCGCTGCATTTATTTATTCACAAAGTGTGCGTTGACTTTCTTCACCGATAAATTCAAACAAAGAGTTCGCATTCACTGAATATTTTCCATTTTTTTTCAACGATGATGGAACAATCTTAAGGCCAATCCGTCACTTTGAAGGACTGGTGGCCTTGGAGCGCGTTCTGTAGGTACGGGTCCTCAAGCGGTGCCGGTGCAGCTCTGCAACCGGTGCAGAAGGAGAGCATGATGTCTCAGTCCTCGAAATTCAAAATGCATTGAAAAAAATCCAAAATAGGTTTTCGGAACTTGGCTCGTTCCGAAACCACTTTGTTTTCTTCACATCTGTATGAACACTTCTATTTTCACTAGCGGACCTCTTCTATAATGAAATACTGATTTATGTGAAAAAAGTCATTCAGACTTCAAAGCTAAAAGTATTTCCAGTGTTTTGGTCCAACGAGCTCATTTTGAGACATGTTGCATGAAGTGTTTTGGAGGTGAGCTTAACTGGATGCATGTTGGCGATGCAGACCGTAGGAAGAGTTTTGAAAATGGGGCTTCAGTATTGACCGCTGCTTGTTAGCAGACTGTGAGGCCTCTGCGCTGTTTGCTGCTGCAAATCACCACAGAACAAGGATCACAGAGGCTCCATCTCTCCCTCTGAGTATTCATCATGAACACAGATCCTTTCCCTTCAACCTTTCAAGAAACGTGTCCTCTAATGGCGTCGCCTATCAAAAAGGCTCTCCTGAGCACATCCAAATAGCATCGGCTCTGCATTGGCGAAGACTGAATGGGGGGGGGGGCATTCAGGACATTCGAGGACATTCAGATAGATGAAGAGAGGGGGATTGGCGGCGGAGCGAGAGATAAGAAGACAGATGTAGAGATGTTCAATCAACGTGCATCTTCTGTGACGGGCTGCACATTTGATCTCGTTCAGTTTTAGTGGCTTTGATTTGTATTTGATCTCCGGGTTATAATGGGGATCACAGACAAGAGGAGCTCAGCCAGATGGAAACATCAAAGCCACAGCCGCTCACCTGGAGCTCCGGGCGCAGACAACAAAACGCTGCGGCATCCAAATACATTCAGGTGGTACATTTCAATCACGCAGAATGCAGATGACAATTTGACAAAGTAAAACATGAATAATTGAACAGTCTGGCAAAAACAAAACAAAAAAGGTTATGTTGTACCTGAATAACATCAGTCAGTGTTTCACAAACATGTTTTGTCCTCGTTTTTCCTGCCGGTCTACGGTACATTGAGGATGTGTATAATTACCTTATGATGACAATGATTCCATCGAACACGTTGTAGGGGTTTCTCAGGTAGCTGAAGGAGCCGAATGCAGTGAGCTTGAGGATCATCTCCAGAGAGAACATGCTGGTGAAGACGATGTTGCAGATCTCCAGAACATTAGTGAGCTCGTCCGGCTGACGGAGCATAGCGACGGATAAGAAGAGAAGAGAAAGAAGAGACACGAGAGAAACGAAAGAGAGGGAAGAAGAAAATGAGTTAAAGCAGAAAAAAGAAAGTTTCCTTCTCTTGCATTCTGGGAGTTTGGCAAAATACAAACTCTGGCACTAGATGAGCAGCCACATTGTTATTAAAATGATGTATTATTGGTATAGTGCTACTCCCAATGCAGTTTTATATTTTATTATTTTGTGTATTTTGGTATTTTCACTGTTCATAGAGTGTAATACAAAAGTGTTTGAAATGTTCCTTATTTTACT